TTCTTGTGATAACAATGGACTCTGTTGATTTGTGGGCAATATGTTTTTCAATTTGACAAACTTTACTCAATATTTTAATGAATACATCGCGGGCAAAAAAGTTATATGCCACCTGGGCATCAGAGGCATGTCTGTAAACATGATGTAATAGCTTTGGCGCACAACCCACAACTGGCCATTTCGTCAGTTCATCGAGATACTGTCTCGGGGGTATTTTGAAGCGTGAAACTAGTTCAAATGCATTAGTGATTGTTGGTTCTTCTATAGCCACATACAGTTTAGCTTCTGTGTGCACGTGTAACACGTGCTGTTCATGCATGATGTGAAATTCCATTGTGATTAGATGTTGCATTCAAATGCAACGCCACGGTATTATGTAAACCTCAACGATAGCTACATGTACATTCGAATCAGTACATGTAGTTCCTTTTTTTGTTGGTATTATATACTCATAAAGCTGTAGCTATTGGAATAGTGATATTCTCATACCAAAATCTCCTTTGTCTAGTACCATGAGAGTCCAGTATCACTTTGTGTATTGACGGCTTTAGATTCTTTATCCATTGTATTTTAAATTTTAATTTTTGTTGACCAATATTCAGTCAATATGTAAGTAGATATAAAAAAACGCAACAAAGTCACATTCAACTAAACGACTTTAATTAATAGATTTACATAATTCACCTGTCGCAGGCAACAGATGAAAGCCATTAATGTATCAAATTACAAGCATATTCCAAATAGTGATAGTGAATTCCTCATTAAAGATATGCGCATCAATGGAATGCTCACTTTTGGCGAACTTGTTTTCGACGTGGTAATAGAGACGTCAGTGGCAGAACAAATTCATGACCTTCAGTTTTATAACCATGCTGGTACTCCTTCTTTGATGGTTTTCAGTCAGAAGCAGGTCGCAATGTGAAGAGGAATATCTGAAATGACAGAAAATTAGAAATATAGTTGGTAAAACAGAAGAAGTTCGAGAAACTGAAGAATTCAATGATTGCAGTGGCAAAACAATGATCAGATAGAATTTAGCATCTTAGAAGAAATATGACTTTACCCAGCGTCGAGAGTAAGTGCATTTTTATATTTCACAAAAGTTATCAATTATTCTCAATTATTCTAATTAATATTTTAATTTGTGTAATCAATGCGATTAATCAAAATTGGACACTGTTGACGAACACTTATTTCTGATGTCAGAGTTTTATGTCAATCAGAAAGGTGAAGAAACTTTAGGCCAGTACAATTCAACCAGGCACCACATTTCATACCCTCAATATATACTTTGCTATGATTGATGCTGATTTTCTTGAAAATATTTGTTTTTTAAGAAATGATCTGGAATATGTTAACGTTCTAAAGGTATTTTTACTGTGAAATATTTGTGCAGGCTCTCCTATTTTGGCACCTGGTAACAACTATTTGTGTGCATGCAAGCATAATTAATCAACAGTATTTAGTATTTTACTGCGAATATTACAGATATGCAAGGAAGTCCTTGGTGACCGATTATCAGAAGGTCTCAGAAGGTGATTGAAAAAACGTCCTTCATACTGTTGAACATACTGTACAAATGATCTGAAACAATAATGATATTGTTGCAAGGTGTTTTTATTTGATGTTTTTGCATTTTTTGCATTTTTGTCTCCCCCTGGTACCTGGTGCTCCGCATTAAGGGGAGTCAGTATACAGTGTATGTGTGGGATATTCATGGTAATATATAAACTGCAGCATGGTACCTCAGTGGGCTAGCAATATAAAGTCGGCATTAGTCTGGAATAGTACATGCAGCCAAACACACACACACACACACACACACACACACACATACGCACACACTATATAAGTTTAACCCCATTTGACCTCATCTCATCCCACATAAGTTACAATTCTAATATAAAGTCATGCGTCTGTAAGGCGGTCTTTGTAGGAGCAAGACAAACGATCAGAACAAGATACATCAGGTTACAGCCAGGCCAAGTTGCAAATCTGGCTGGCTTTGGGAAGCTCACCTCCCACAACGTGCCCTTGGCTTTGCTCAGCTCCAGCACCATGATGAAAGGCAAAGGGATGATAGGCAGCATAGCGAATACAAAGCCGATGGCACGAGCTATCACTGGATATGTGTACCCATCGTAGGTTGGCATCTGATAGGCACTCAACCTGACGATAAAGATGGTCTGCAACATGCATAACATGATAGACATTAAGTCAAGATAGACGCCTACGTTGACGACAGAAATATCAAACACACTGTCATTGTCGTGTTGCAAAGGATACTTAATATGGCAATAGATAAAGTTTTTCTTTTCTTTTTATAAATATAGTCTAAACATGAACTACTGTCACATCAGGCAACACACTCAAGGTCACGATATTGCCAATCCTTCTATGATCTTGACAGAGATGCTTCCAACTACCACATCGCAGGACTGCACAAGTAAAGGTACGGCAGTAATTAGTAATGAATGCTTTTCACAAAAACGTTAACCTTGACATGCCTTCTGTATGTGAAGGAGCAGGATTTGTTATGTTCCATGAAAGTTGCAAGCCTGTAGAAGAAAACATGACTCTGACATTGGCTGTATTGATATGAACAAAACATACTGGTCATAAAATTCGTTGCGAGAGTTTATTAAAAGATGAACTTCAGAAAAAACACATGCAGATGAGTGAAGCATTGTTCTGTTTGTATGGGACTGTAATGCACACATGGCGACTGATATAACAAATAATCCTTGGAAGTGAGTTTGTATTCAAAAACTTCCCCTAAATCCAGCCAATTACAATATATTCCAGGAAGGAGCAGACAAACAAACAGAATGCTGTCGTGAACCAGTCCATCAACTGGAAGATGTAGATTCCTCCCTGGAAATACAGGTCTCAAATATGGTGAAGAGACTCAAATTATATAGAATAAGGATTATTCCGAGTGAAAGTTCAAACAAATGTACCCTTAATTTTGATATTCTACGACAACATTTTGCCGGATTTTCAATCATACAGGACAGGTAAACTCCATTATTTCTGAGAGTGATTATCCAAGGGTTATAATCTAGGGATCAGTTTCCCGAACTGTAGTCACACTATTAAATTTATGGGGTATTTTGAGATGGAAACATCTCATCGACAAACATAATTGTGTTTCTTTCTAAAGTTTGCCTCTAAAAAACATCCTCATGTCAATAACTGTTCCGACACGGGTCAAAAACTCTACTCTCATAGTCGTTCATGTTATCCTTCCTAATCAGTCACACTGACTTGACTAATCTGAATTACATTTAAATTGGACTGTCAGAAACTATCCTTAACTTGCCCAGATCCGTCAAGATCACTTATGAATCGATCGCCGATCAAGATCATGTTTGTATGTAAACACTGAAAGGTACATATCTGACCTTAAACTTGCATCTATATCCGTACATTTCCTCAACGACTTCTGTATTCCTCCATTGGCTTTATCATACCCAGAATGTGATAATTAGAGATCTAGAATAATGTACTATTGTCTCGCTTTGGAGTAAGTTTCCAAGTTGTTAATCACGCCCTTCAGTTGACTCACATTCATTGTGATCGGAAGGCCAAGTAGGAAAAGGTCCTAGACACGCCTGCCGTGACTAAAGTCCTGTATTTGCTAAGGCGTCGTGGGAAGGCGTCTATGATGCCGGCTACAAGATTCTCAACCATCCCAAACTGCAAACACAAAGACCATATTTCTTGTTCATTATGTAACAAACAATAGCGGTTTCCCCCTGCCACTGAACATACGTCACAATCGTATGTGGTGGTGTCAGGAGATGATAAACGTTATGTGTTTTTCAGATAAGCGAGTGCTATTGAACGATTTAGGACCGGAAGTTTCATTTGTAATCAAAAGACGGACCTTTCCTGTGTAGAAGACAACGGCGTGTGCCACTACATACATGATTAATTTTGACGAAAAGAGCAATTTGGATTGTATCAATGTTATATGTTTGAGTTTTGAATTTGGGGTTTTGTTATATTCATGGAGTAGTGGTCGCATGTCATGCACATAACATACTTGTACCATGTTATATCCAGGGAATGCAGGCACTGCTAGATGGAACCCATAGGGATTCCTGGTCCGAATGTATGTCCCCAACAAACTATTCCTGTCGCAAGGGACGACTAAACGGATCAGTTTCGGTGACTAGGTTGATTGCTAATTTCCTAACTGAATGGGCCTATTCTCATGATGTCATTCACTGGATTGTCTGGTCCAGACTGATTATTTACAGACCATCGCCATGACATTTAAAAAATATCTATCAACCTCATCTATTTAAATTTCTATTTTCATGAAGAGAAAATAATACATAGCGACTCACATTCATACACTTTGTCAATATTTGATTATGTAAACATGAAACGCAAGTAGACACCGATATGATCCAACGAATCTTGGTTCTAAAGCCCCGTGTGTTTACTGACCCTAATCTGTATGATGAGTTATTCATTTGACTCGAATGAGATACAAGAGTAATTATGCGCATAACCCAAAAGCAGGATGAAAATGTGTGCTGCGTGGATCGGTGAAAGAATGTTGTGAATACGTTGTACAATACCTATATACACATGACTGCAACGCAGCTTTATTTATTAATACTGATAAGCAATTGATGTTTCAGCTGTGACTGTTCGAAGCAAGCAAGCGAAAGCGGTCTGTAAATATTCCAGTCTGTACCAAACAATCCAATGACATTGAGAGCTACGATCCATGCTGTGTATGCGGAGTATGATGACACACTTTCAAACAAGTAGTCGAGTCTGACCACCCAATCCATTAAGCCTCTTACGGCCAGCACAGGTTTGATCTGGAGACCCTTTCTTACCTGGAATTTCCACGTGGTCTTTTATGCCCTATAAGTAATGATCTCTGGATATGACAGTATTGTGTAGATAGATGCAGACATGCAGTATTCCCTTACTCGTATACAGGTGTGTATACCTGCACGACAACATGACACCTACCTGAAGCAGTTGTTGTTGAAGTCATTGAAACTAGACATAGTCATTAGCGATCCCCATGCTGGACCAAGGGAGTAAAACACTTGAATAGCTGCCTCGATCCACACCTGTAAAAATGCATTTTATTTGACTTTACTTTTGACCTCCACGAATGAAATCCGAATACTATGTCAGTCATTAAAGACAAATAAAGTTGCTGGTCTTGACGCGCTTCAATATGAACATTTAAAGCACGGTGGAAACCAGTTATACTTTTACCTATCGATTCTGTTTAACAGAATCTTAAAATCTGGATACATGCCGAAGTCATGGAAAAGTGGGACTGTTATTCCAATTTATAAAGGTACCGGAAAACCAAAAACGTCACCAGACTCCTATCGAGGAGTTACTCTATTGCCTGTTATCTTTAAGTTATTTGAAACTGTAGTTAGCAAAAGACTACCTGATATTTATAACTCTAAGTCATTTCCAGACTCACAGCAGTGCGGATTTCAAAAGGGCCTTTCATCCTCCCACGCTTCTTTTCTAATCCAGGAAACTGTACACCATTATCTAGAAAGAAAAGATAATATCAAAGTGGTCTTTTTAGACAGTGCTAAGGCCTTTGACACGGTGTGGCACTCTGGACTTCTCTGGAAACTACATCATCTTGGCATAAACAAAGCATTATGGAAACTGTTTAACAACATGTACAGTGGAATGACGAGTTGTGTCTCCGTAAACAACACCAAATCTTACTGGTTCAAATTGGACAGAGGTGTCAGACAAGGCAGTGTTTTGTCTGCCAAACTGTATTTGGTCTATATCAACGCTCTCCTTAGTGAACTGTCATCATCTCACAAAGGAGCTATGGTCATGGATTTGCATGTTGCCTCACGGGATTGCCTAAAAGTCGGGCCAAGAAAAGTCGGGCCGGGCCGGGCCAGCGGGTAATACTAAAAATGGATTGCAGAATAATAAAACGAAACGCGCATATCTAGGCAGATCTCAAATGTCCACAAACGTATAGTTTTTCTCATTTAATTGAGTTTGAATAAAAATGCACCTTCAACAATGTATTTAACTGATGATTATGACTACATACCGTGAGTCTCGTAGAAAAGTCAGCGTCTTGACTGTGTGTATTCTTTGATTAGAATGCTTCTCACCGACCTTAGCGTGTAGGGGTGTGATGTCCTGGGCAGGAAACCACAGTGTTTTGACTACTATTCTTTCATTAATTAACGTGTTAAGGTAATTAACCTTTACTAATTCGTGTAAAACCAACACAGGATGTTTTCTGGAAGTGGATATTCGCGAATGTCAAAAGACTGACACGACACGTGTTAATAACTGTCCAAGCACTTCTAAAGTTCCTAACATTATTTATATCTAAAGACTAGTATTGTATCTAATTATTTACCACTTTATTGTCTCATATTTCAGTAGTTAAACAAAACACAGAGCTCAAAGTGAAGCCTTTTTCACTCTACATTCTCAACATAGTCTCTATCAGAAGTGTTTGGCTTGTGTTGGGTCCGACTTGGTCCGGGCGGTCAAAATAACTTTAAACAGACAGATGTATCTTGAAATGTGATTAAATCTATAGACCAGTGTTATATCTACCTATACACCAATTTATAATGTCACAGATCGCAGTATTTCTAGAAAACAAGGGGCTCAAGTGAAGCCCTTTTCCCGCTACATTCTCAACATAGTCTCTATCAGAAGTGTTTGGCTTGTGTTGGGTCCGACTTGGCCCGGGCGGTCAAAATCAACTTTAAACGCACAGATGTATCTTCAAATGTGATTAAATCTATAGATTAGTGTTATATCTACCTATACACCAATTTATAATGTCCAGGTGTATCGCATTTAAAGAAATCTGCGCCGTTAAATTGAAGCATTGAGTCGGTAAGTATTAGGATTTTTTGGTGTTCTTTGGATTCTTGATTATGGAGGGCTGAGGCCATGCCCATTAGTTCTGCCGTGAATATTGATTGGTTGTTTGGGAGTCGGAAGGATTGTGTGGTTTTAGTTGGTTGTGTGGTATGGACTCCGAAACCTGTGTGTTTGGAGGTCGGATCTGAGGATCCGTCCGTGTAAATGTGACACCAATTTGGCCAATGTACTGTACTTGGGTTTACCTCCTTTTGCATCCTGCGTATCATTCTACCCGTCGGATCGACTTGACCCGGGTGGTTAATCATCTTAAACATCACGACTGTAAAAACAAAGTTCCTAGATATATATAGAACTTGAATTTACGGCGTCTTTTAACCATCACGACCATAATACTGAGTGGTCCAAGTCAGGTTCAGGAGAAGTGTGTTTTCACAGTGCGAGCTTTGTCGGAAATGGCTGCTCGGAGATGCAGCATGTATTCTCGCGGTATGGCAGATTACAACTGTCTCAGATAATCCTGTTTTCCTAAACACACAGCTAATAGAAGCATTAAGCAGGGTTGAGGGAGAGGTTTATCCTGAAATCCAAAGTGTCTCACCTTACCATCTCCAAGTGTTACCCTATATAAGTGACGATGTAGCGCACTGACATCCTATTCCAAATATCACGATCAGAAATGACTGCCATACTCATTGGCGACTCTTTGGTCAAATATCTTGGACGGTACACTGAGAGAGAAGACATAGTTACGAGATCTCTGTCAGGAGCCAAGGTGGCTGACGTCCCCGATCTCCTCTGGGACATTGAGAGGTTTAAGGTAGGAGACGTCTTCATATCATATCTTTTAGCAGTTAAAGGAAGTAACATTTTGCACATTATGAGGACTGTTCCACGCACGTACTAATGAATAATCAGTCATCATAAACTCACCCCAATGATAATTGAAACCGGTATAGATGTTAATCCATTTGATGATACATCTGTGTGTTTAAAGTTGATTTTGACCGCCCGGGCCAAGTCGGACCCAACACAAGCCAAACACTTCTGATAGAGACTATGTTGAGAATGTAGAGGGAAAAGGGCTTCACTTGAGCCCCTTGTTTTCTAGAAATACTGCGATCTGTGACATTATAAATTGGTGTATAGGTAGATATAACACTGGTCTATAGATTTAATCACATTTGAAGATACATCTGTGAGGTTTAAGTTGATTTTAACAGCCCGGGCCAGGTCGGACCGAACATTTCTGACTTGGATTTTTTTAAGAAAATACAGTAAAAATGCTTCACTTTAACGGCGCAGATTTCTTTAAATGCGATACACCTGGACATTATAAATTGGTGTATAGGTAGATATAACACTAATCTATAGATTTAATCACATTTGAAGATACATCTGTGCGTTTAAAGTTGATTTTGACCGCCCGGGCCAAGTCGGACCCAACACAAACCAAACACTTCTGATAGAGACTATGTTGAGAATGTAGAGGGGAAAAGGGCTTCACTTGAGCCCCTTGTTTTCTAGAAATACTGCGATCTGTGACATTATAAATTGGTGTATAGGTAGGTATAACACTGGTCTATAGATTTAATCACATTTGAAGATACATCTGTGAGGTTTAAGTTGATTTTAACAGCCCGGGCCAGGTCGGACCGAACATTTCTGACTTGGATTTTTTAAAGAAAATACGGTAAAAATGCTTCACTTTAACGGCGCAGATTTCTTTAAATGCGATACACCTGGACATTATAAATTGGTGTATAGGTAGATATAACACTAATCTATAGATTTAATCACATTTCAAGATACATCTGTGTGTTTAAAGTTGATTTTGACCGCCCGGGCCAAGTCGGACCCAACACAAGCCAAACACTTCTAATAGAGACTATGTTGAGAATGTAGAGGGGAAAAGGGCTTCACTTGAGCCCCTTGTTTTCTAGAAATACTGCGATCTGTGACATTATAAATTGGTGTATAGGTAGATATAACACTGGTCTATAGATTTAATCACATTTGAAGATACATCTGTGAGGTTTAAGTTGATTTTAACAGCCCGGGCCAGGTCGGACCGAACATTTCTGACTTGGATTTTTTAAAGAAAATACGGTAAAAATGCTTCACTTTAACGGCGCAGATTTCTTTAAATGCGATACACCTGGACATTATAAATTGGTGTATAGGTAGATATAACACTAATCTATAGATTTAATCACATTTCAAGATACATCTGTGCGTTTAAAGTTGATTTTGACCGCCCGGGCCAAGTCGGACCCAACACAAGCCAAACACTTCTGATAGAGACTATGTTGAGAATGTAGCGGGAAAAGGGCTTCACTTGAGCCCCTTGTTTTCTAGAAATACTGCGATCTGTGACATTATAAATTGGTGTATAGGTAGATATAACACTGGTCTATAGATTTAATCACATTTGAAGATACATCTGTGAGGTTTAAGTTGATTTTAACAGCCCGGGCCCTGTCGGACCGAACATTTCTGACTTGGATTTTTTAAAGAAAATACAGTAAAAATGCTTCACTTTAACGGCGCAGATTTCTTTAAATGCGATACACCTGGACATTATAAATTGGTGTATAGGTAGATATAACACTAATCGATAGATTTAATCACATTTGAAGATACATCTGTGAGGTTTAAGTTGATTTTAACAGCCCGGGCCAGGTCGGACCGAACATTTCTGACTTGGATTTTTTAAAGAAAATACAGTAAAAATGCTTCACTTTAACGGCGCAGATTTCTTTAAATGCGATACCTTGGACATTATAAATTGGTGTATAGGTAGATATAACACTGGTCTATAGATTTAATCACATTTCAAGATACATCTGTGAGGTTTAAGTTGATTTTAACAGCCCGGGCCCTGTCGGACCGAACATTTCTGACTTGGATTTTTTTAAGAAAATACAGTAAAAATGCTTCACTTTAACGGCGCAGATTTCTTTAAATGCGATACACCTGGACATTATAAATTGGTGTATAGGTAGATATAACACTAATCTATAGATTTAATCACATTTCAAGATACATCTGTGCGTTTAAAGATGATTTTGACCGCCCGGGCCAAGTCGGACCCAACACAAACCAAACACCTCTGATAGAGACTATGTTGAGAATGTAGAGGGGAAAAGGGCTTCACTTGAGCCCCTTGTTTTCTAGAAATACTGCGATCTGTGACATTATAAATTGGTGTATAGGTAGATATAACACTGGTCTATAGATTTAATCACATTTGAAGATACATCTGTGAGGTTTAAGTTGATTTTAACAGCCCGGGCCAGGTCGGACCGAACATTTCTGACTTGGATTTTTTAAAGAAAATACAGTAAAAATGCTTCACTTTAACGGCGCAGATTTCTTTAAATGCGATACACCTGGACATTATAAATTGGTGTATAGGTAGATATAACACTAATCTATAGATTTAATCACATTTCAAGATACATCTGTGCGTTTAAAGTTGATTTTGACCGCCCGGGCCAAGTCGGACCCAACACAAGCCAAACACTTCTGATAGAGACTATGTTGAGAATGTAGCGGGAAAAGGGCTTCACTTGAGCCCCTTGTTTTCTAGAAATACTGCGATCTGTGACATTATAAATTGGTGTATAGGTAGATATAACACTGGTCTATAGATTTAATCACATTTGAAGATACATCTGTGAGGTTTAAGTTGATTTTAACAGCCCGGGCCCTGTCGGACCGAACATTTCTGACTTGGATTTTTTAAAGAAAATACAGTAAAAATGCTTCACTTTAACGGCGCAGATTTCTTTAAATGCGATACACCTGGACATTATAAATTGGTGTATAGGTAGATATAACACTAATCTATAGATTTAATCACATTTGAAGATACATCTGTGAGGTTTAAGTTGATTTTAACAGCCCGGGCCAGGTCGGACCGAACATTTCTGACTTGGATTTTTTAAAGAAAATACAGTAAAAATGCTTCACTTTAACGGCGCAGATTTCTTTAAATGCGATACCTTGGACATTATAAATTGGTGTATAGGTAGATATAACACTGGTCTATAGATTTAATCACATTTCAAGATACATCTGTGAGGTTTAAGTTGATTTTAACAGCCCGGGCCCTGTCGGACCGAACATTTCTGACTTGGATTTTTTTAAGAAAATACAGTAAAAATGCTTCACTTTAACGGCGCAGATTTCTTTAAATGCGATACACCTGGACATTATAAATTGGTGTATAGGTAGATATAACACTAATCTATAGATTTAATCACATTTCAAGATACATCTGTGCGTTTAAAGATGATTTTGACCGCCCGGGCCAAGTCGGACCCAACACAAACCAAACACCTCTGATAGAGACTATGTTGAGAATGTAGAGGGGAAAAGGGCTTCACTTGAGCCCCTTGTTTTCTAGAAATACTGCGATCTGTGACATTATAAATTGGTGTATAGGTAGATATAACACTGGTCTATAGATTTAATCACATTTGAAGATACATCTGTCTGTTTAAAGTTGATTTTGACAGCCCGGGCCAAGTCGGAGCGAACTGTGTGACTGTCGAGAGTATAGGGAGAAGAGGTCTACTTTAACCAACGTGTCTGCTTTAAATACGATGAACATTGACGTTATAAAGTGGTATTTACTTAGATATAGTACGTTCCTATAATATAAACGCTATGCCGACAGATGGAAATTCGTATCACGAAAGCTAGAAGTATTTGATACGTGTCAAATCCTATTTCGTTTAACGATTGCTCTTTTACATGTTACCTAGATCAGCGACGCTAACACATAGCTCCACTTTCTAGTTTTTAAGTGATTTAGTCCGAATTACTGAATTATGCTGCACGTTTTGGATTGGTGATTGTTCAGTAGTGTCATGTGTGTATGTTGCATCAATAATATGTAGATATGATCGCCGATAATGAAGTAATTAGCCAATAACACTTTGGCCCGTCTTGGCCCGGCCCGGCCCGACTTTTAGGCAATCCCTTGCCTCACCAACTCAGGCTGACGATATTACTCTCATTAGTCCCATCACATCATACCTACAAGAAATGATCAAGATATGTGAAACATATAGTGCAGAATGGCGATTTTCATTCTCAGCAGCCAAAAGTAGTGTAATGACATTCTCAAGTTCTAAATCAATGAGCCCTTGTCATCGTTCACTATACGGCAAAGATATACCCGAGGTACCTTGTGCCAAACATGTTGGAATAGAACTGGATCACAATATGAATTCTTGGGACAGAACCATAAATGCCTGTTCCAAATTGAAAGCAAGCACCATGGCCCTTCAGCGACTAGGTTGTGACTGTAAAGGCCTCAATCCGCTGACAAGTTCGAAATTGTTAAAAATGGTGTCCTTACCCAAATCTATGTTTGGATGCGAGCTCTGGTCAGATTTAAATAAAACGGAATTAATTGCTCTAGAACGTGCTCAGAGATTCTCTGTAAAACTTGTTCAAGGCCTACCTAAAACAACGCGAACAGATATCTGCAACGCTCTGATAGGATTCTATCCAATTGAATCTTACATCGATGCTAAAAAGTTGCTGTTTCTGGGACAACTGTGTAATAACCCAACACACTACCTCAGCAGAACATTGTTCACCACACGCTTATTCCTGCTAAGAAATGGATGTTCCAAAAGGTCTCGTGGCTTTGTACCAAACATTGTTCAGATCCTACAGAAGTACAACATGTTTGAGCATCTAACAGCATTCATGGACACAGGGCAGTTTTGCAAACCATCACTCTGGAAGAAAAAGGTCAAGAAGCAAATCGAAGAACATCATGACTCGGAGTGGCAACAGCGTCTACAAACAGACCCGGACCTACACCATTTTTCAAAAATACACAACAAAATTAAACCTCACAAAGCATGGAAAGTTGCTAAGCATTGGCCCTTACTAAAAGACTCCTGCAAATTTGTTGTGGACATGTGCGCACTCTGGCGGCCAGGCAAAGTACATGGTCACTGCGAACGTTGTGACAAAGGTTATATTGATCTTCTGGTTCATATGATATGCCACTGCAGAGCATCTGAATTCATCAGGGATCGTATGTGGTGTGAAATTGTCAACTGTTGTCCAGTTGAATTGAGTGTTACCTTACACTCCATGTGTGACGTTGACCTAGTGTGCAGTCTGTTGTCATGCACACCTCCTGTACAAGCGAGTGAAGAAGACAATGAGCTGTTTGCAAGAACTGTGATCCAGAACAGACACCAACTGTGTTTGACACTATATCCTGACCCTTAACCTAATCTTGTTATTTCTCTTGTTAATATCTCTATAACCGTAATGAATTGCATGTAACTCTCCTATGGAGGAATAAAGATGATAATAATATGAAGAAACACATGCATCCATATTGTCAGGGGAGACAGTGTGTACATGGCTACTCAGATAGTAAGCAAATCAGACAAATGACACCATCACACTATTGTTAAAACGAAACGAGATTTGGGATTTCTTACACACCTCTGGGTGAGAAACCCATTTGAGATAACTGGTATCAAACACATGTGTGAGATCGAATTCCAGGCACGTGATTGGCTACTCCATGGTGATGACCTGAGGTCAGATTATGACGGACTACATGTACTTTACTGATTGGAAGACATTGATAAGTTTCTCGTGCTTCAGTCGAGTGTTCACCTACTCTGTGTTGATTCACTGTTGATCATTGTGGTTTTGTAGAGTGTAAACCCCCTGCATGCCACAGCGACATATATGTCCCTCCTCTTCAACCCTCACTTCGAAGTTAAAAAAAATTCATGTGTGAGATCGAATTCCAGGCACGTGATTGGCTACTCCATGGTGATGACCTGAGGTCAGATTATGACGGACTACATGTACTTTACTGATTGGAAGACATTGATAAGTTTCTCGTGCTTCAGTCGAGTGTTCACCTACGTCTGTGTTGATTCACTGTTGATCATTGTGGTTTTGTAGAGTGTAAACCCCCTGCATGGCACAGCGACATATATGTCCCTCCTCTTCAACCCTCACTTCGAAGTTAAAAAAAATTCAAAATACATCACGCACACTAATACACTTCACTGTTTTCAATTCCCTCTTCGGTGATATCATCCACTGTCATTTTAGGCAAAGTACAATTTCTGAAAGTGACCTCTGAAAAAAAAGGACATCGTAAATCTCGCTAAATCACCATTCACGGCGTCATTGTACGCCGTCGTATATGTTTGGCAATATTGGACTGTGTTTACAAAATCACGTTTCACGTATGTCGGTTATGAGACGCCTATTAGATCACGTATATTTCAAACTCAGCTGCGATACACGTATCCTTTAATTCCTCATACATTTTACAATTAAAGGACAAATGGTCTTTGTCACCGATGCAAATGATCAAGATGTTATTTCTTTGAGGTGAAAATTATTAACTCGGCATCAAGCGTGTTCTTTTATCTGATATAGTTTGCATTATCATCTTCGCCTTGGTGATCCACAGATATGGCGGAAACTATTTGAGTTGCATCACAATATTTATGAGGAGTAAGCCGTTCATCGCATGACAGCACTCATGACCGTGGTGTTTATGTAATACTGCGCGCCACTGTGATCATGAGAATAGATGAAATGCATCGATTCGATGCTTCAAAGGTGCGATTTTAGTGTGTGTAAGAAACAGATCACCGCACTCGTGCCTGTCAGATATACCTTTCGCTCGTTAGATACGTTTTGAATCAACTCGTTGTAAGATAAATGGTATCTGACAGACACTCGTGTAGTAATCTCTATATATGGGCATAGCATTCAGTGGTATCAAATGGCAGAGATGGCCCATTCATCACATCCTACGCCTGTCTGTCCGAATCAAGGATTCGTCCTGATTATGATCCTTGTTCATGGGTTTCACCAATGTGGGAAAAGTCTTAGACCTAAACCACTTTCGGTTTTCTCCCATAGTTATATGACGCGACATGACTATTGTTCAAATACACACATCCACTCGACAATATTATTTTGGTGTCATATTTAAACTCACACTGAAGTTTGCTAGTCTGGAAAATTCAGGGTAGACATAGAACTTGATTCCATCCACAGCCCCGGGTAGCAATAGCCTTCTGATCAGAAGAATGGTCAGGAGGAGATACGGGAAGAGCGACGTCACATAAACCACCTACAATCATATATCACATGTACTTTACAACATCTTAAATCATATATCATGGTATGTACCATACATCATTTTTAATTTTACATCATGGCGTGTACTATACACAACCTTCATATGAAAATAAAAGTGATAAAACCCATTTCATAAACATAAAAATATCTCCATTGTACGATTAGGGCTATTTCATAAACATGCGTTTGTGATTCACTTACAAAACAGTGATGATACCAGGGGTTCAAGAAAACGCGACCAAATCTTGCGTCAGCAGTGGCACCCTGAACCTGTTGCTGGAAAATTTCTTGACATAAAGGGAGAGTTGAGTATTAGAAAGTTGAATACAGATGAGGAGGTTTCATGGTCTCTTATTCCCAGTTCAGGTGGGTAAAATAGTGGACAGGAATTGGCTATTTGACCATTATTTAATGGTATCAGATCATCGATATTGCTTATGTGGATGGTCTTTGCTAAATTCCTGTAGTTTGATTTTGCCAATCCTAGCAATGATTCAGATTCATGTGCAGAACAACAGTTGTTTCTTCTTTTGCTTCTTGATCCATCCTACGAAGAAAAATAGAATGGATACATTTCACGTGTGTGTAACATCACAAACAAACTAGCGCACTTGTTTAATGATGCCCGCTGCTGATCTAAGACAGCATTGAGCAAGTGTGTTGGTTTTGACTTCTTCTGTACCTTTGCCTTTTCTACCAACTCGACATAGGGATAGTGGACTGCTTGGAAGAAGGTATGTAGTGTATTGTCAACTGTATTGCATGGTGTATTGACCACACCATGCGCAAAATATATCACTCCAAACAGATTATCGCCGGTAACAGATTAGTGGTTTGGAATAGTATACTTCTTATTCGAGATAAGGCGCATAAATTAAATCTACTTGTAGAGAGCGCCAGCTGGTGGTATGGTAAGCTCTAGTAACATTGTAAGAAATAGAGTCTTGTAGCATCATTTAGCTCTCAACTATACATAAACTATAATTCTAAGATGCTTTGCTGAAAGATCAAACGTGCGATTAAGTACTTCCTTTTAGTTACGTCACGGCGTTGTACAAATTCCACCTCCCGTTATATAACGTATCCTTGGTCACATCTTTCTTTCATTACTGTTGAGCACGATGGTACATCCACATCAACTTTAGTGGAATAGCCTCTTGAAACTCGTCAAAGTTAAATGTTATAACCTGGTAAGAAATCTGGCCAGATGATGTCAACCATCTGTCATGGGCAGGCTTATCCGAAACATTCAAACCACTGTGTCCGTGCCACAACAGTCACAGAATTGTTCGAGGCGGGACTTGTTGCCCAGGAAGTTATGTCTGTCTCTAGAAAAAAGGAATGAGCAATGTTGCACAGCCACACGTACACCTGTTGCTCAGCGTACGGGATTTAGCAAAAATGGCCACTGCTCCTACTCCGCCATGTTCGCCCACGGCGACGCCGTGTCACGTTACAGGCCGTTGATTCACGTCGGTTACACCTTATGGTATTATCAGTGTAGCGCAACCACCTAGCTATTAGCATACTGTTTCACAACTTGCATTTGCCGCAGTCTGCTTACATTAGTGGAGGAAACAAAGTTGCCACTTGTTCGACAGGAACCATCTCAACTCACAATAACCGAACTTTGGGTAAATTTAGATGTGTTAGCTCGCCCCACAATGCACTTGTAGAATGTGTCGAGTCACCTGATTAAATTGAAGCAAAGGATTTTTTTTTAAATAACTAGTTCTACTTATTGCTTAATGGGATTATGAATAACCTCACACTGAACGGATTCCGAAATGTGGCCTATATTAATAAAAAGCTACCCATTTCAGTGGTGTTGTTTATGTTTAAAACGTAAATATGTGTCTTAACGTAAGGATGTAGGCAAGTACGTGGAGGAGTCTATCCGTTAGCCCTATTCGAGGATTTTCAAATCGTCATAGGTCATAACAGATTTGAGTTGATACCCATCTCCAATAAAACACAGGGTTAATCTTACATTCGGCATCTTACATTTGTTGTACCCCAATGTGTAGTGTAATAAAGTATAGTTTTGCACTTAAGTATTATTACGTCCTCGTGCTTTAACTATGATAATTTAGATCAAAACAATACTTTATTGCACTACACACGTTGATAGAGCAAACTATATTCCTTAAAGTCCCACCCTAACTATAAATAGCCCGCAAGTGAACAGTGACTGACAATGGAAACACAAACGAGTGCCGGGAGAAGCTTTTTGAAAACCGTACGCAAACAAGATCACCATTGACCGTCAAACTTCGTATCAGCTTGAATGACATACCCTGGATACTACAAATGGCTTCGAATCAATCGTGTTTGGCGTCTGCATCAATCACAGTGGGCGGAGATTATTTACGGTTGCGCTATAACTAGCAATCATGAGTACATATGACACATTATGTTGTTTATTTTTACGGAAGAACAGCAGCAGAACATCATTTTCGGTTTATGTAACAGTAACGGTACATAAATACGAAATTGACTAGATTCTTTAAGTTCAATCAGAAAATTACAGATATTTGTGTAGTTTTGTTCATTTACATTCTACAGTTAGATCTATACCACACAATAATCAGATTATATTTATGAAACTTAAATTATTACACATATGTTTCAACAAGAGTGTGGGAAGGGGCCTTATTTGAAGCACCAGAAGTTGCGCCAATATTTCTCAGTTCGACTACAATATATGATTATGTCACGTGTATCAAAATAACAACGCACATAAGCAACTGGTTAAATAAGTAAAGAAAAATACTGGATGATTTGACCTACGTTAGGCGTATCAAGATAATATTGTACTTACAATAAACGAAAACTCCAATACACATATTCCAAGACAACTTTAATTATGGATTTCCGTTTCTTTCACAGAATTTTCACACACAAAACAGAGTTTGATCATTAGATCCAAACTTATCCCATGTATTTTGTGTTCGGGGGATTTTAATACACTTCGCGCACAAGTTTAAAAATACAATGTGGGATCCCTTTCCCGTTTTGTCTTCTCCAATCCTTCACTGCTGCAACGTTTAATATCCGTTTCTTCAAGTCCGAGTATCTACGATCTCTCCAAACACTTCGTTTATTTAGCTCGGTCCAGACGCACTGTGTTCGAATCGATGAATTTATGCAACATGGTGGCCGCACCATTCCCTAACTGCGATTGCCTGTGCCGTGTCACGCATGGATGACAAAAGAAGTATGAACAAACATATTCGGCTTCATCTGGTTCCACAATGAAATATCGCTGTGACACTGATTCACTAATCCCAAGAATCGGCACTGAATTTGTCAAAGTTTCTGTTGCACTTGCAAGGGCGGGGGAATGATGTCATCTTGAATTGGAACTTTCTCCACGACAAAGTCACGAATGTCATCATCGAAATGACCAAAGGCTCCCCGATCATCTCCATCAACTCTCCGTCAAACTAAGCGTGACATGAAAATATTTTGTTACTCATATTAAAGACAAACGAACTTGCGAAGTTCTTGACAGTTGTAAGCAGCAATCCGCTCATGGGACCTGGCTGCTAGGAGATCGCGTGGTCAGAAAGGGGGAAAACAAAACGTTTTAGAAAGTAATAAAAGAAATCCAAACCAAAAATATCATGTTCAGGTTGTTTTTTAATAATACTATTCACGAAAACATTTCTTTTCTAAAAATGCAAATTAATTTATTAATTCATCTCAAGGTCGTAACCCTGATCACGTGGGTTGGTATTTGGAAAGAATCTTGTAATGGCGTGAACGAGGCTGCGTGTATAACATTGTTGAAATCAACTGACCAGGAAGATTGTCGAGGCAATGACATTATGACAGATGCTCGTCATGGATGGAGAAATAATGCGTCTGAGAGAAACATTGTTGCTTTGAGCGTTGAGACCAAACATGTGTTCATGCCGAAGTAGTTTACAAGAGAGGATGATCTGTGTAGCCCGCGACCTGAATAAGCTTAATGAAAATGATGTTGAAATCCATGTTCACGCATATGACAGAATTAATGTGAACAAATATTTATCTGAACATCGTTTCGATAGGAGGTACCAAACCTAAGGCACCGAGAACAATGGGGAGTCGGACAACTTGCTACTTGGGATGGAAGCGTGTCATTTCGAAAGCGAGATCTACATATTTGCCATGTTTTTCCTGAATCTTGTCAATCACATTAATGTCAAATAGGACAGAAAATTCAACAATATACATGAATTCATTGGATTTATCCAAAAGAGCAAGATCAGGTTTGATGGCCTGGATAGGTCTGAGGCTGTATACGGACCTATTCCTAAGGATTTATCATTTTAAGTGCATTGAAGCGTCAGCCACGGTAATGGTTTAGCGAGACAGTGGTAGTGCTATAGCGCAGAAATTGAACTGCAGGTAGTGGGCTGCACCAAATAAACTACCTCCTTATCTATGCAGTGCATTACCGCCAAAATACTATTTTTTTCAACTGTCACTGAGAATAGGGTAAAGAGAGGATAAATAAGGGACGTTCTTGGCTACAGCTGTTGATACGGACAATGCATGCCCCGATTGCCAAGGGTACCAACTGCCCAAACCATGAAATGATGCCTGGTTCAGCAACAGTGCAGCGTGACACAAAATATTGCAGAACGGCTTCAAGCGGATCTGTGCTGACTACGAACTTCTGTAGCAACGCACTTATATGAACAGCTTAATTGTGACTAAACATCTACCAAATTAAAATAGACAAAATATCTACATTGACAGGTAAAAGTAACAGTGTTGTATTGTTGCCAAAGTCTGCTTTTAAGTATTTTTGGGAGACTCCTACTAACCTACTAACCTCGTTGCAGTATAATGACAGAATGTAACATTCTGAAATTGTGTGTCAGGATACAGGAAGCCGTTTACAGCATCTAAGGGGTCCAGAAGTAAACAGAAGGCTGTAGTCCCTGACATCACCAGGAAGAAGCAATTGTAACTCTGACGGGAGGAAAATTTAATACTACCGAGATATCCCCAGCTCCGATGGAAACTTGAGGAAACACAACGCAGATGTCCCTGCCCGGAGTAGAATCGGCCATGAACCATGGTCGTGGAAACATTTAATGCAAATCTACTTCTGCTGATGTTGTAAGTTAACAAAAAAATCAATAAAATCAACATCTGTTGTGTTATTTGAATCATACTTTATCGAGATGCCCCTTCCACTCCCGCCCCGTCCAGACAGGATTTAAACTTTGTTAACTCTGACCTTAATATCCTCCATACCATGCATATCTTATAGGAACAAAAAGTCAATGAAATATCAACTGCAGATACTTAATAAAATCAAATATAAATAACATTCTGAGAAACTAACATGTAGCTAAAATAAAGTAAAAGACATTGACCCATAACGACCTCATTCACAAATGTTAACATTTTATGACTGAGTCTGAACAGTGTTGACGTGGATGGGTTGTTATCGTTGTGGCATGTATTCATATTTTTGGTGACTGAGATTTACTATTCATATGACATGTAATGTACTCAATAGCGCATTCAAATCATACGATCTCAACGGAACGTTCACTGAACGTTGAACTGCAACTCGACTTTTATCTGGTGTCAATGCTTTAGATAAACACAAACTTTATTTTCTGTTGGGACTGAAACTTTTCCAGGACTAAAGACATCACTGTTTCCAGAGATCAAAGTGTCTTCAAGCAAATGTGGTTGCTTTTGTTGAATGAATTGCCGTCTCAAAGCACACCTAACTTTTCGTCTCCGCTCAATATAAATTGTTAATAGTAATCCCACTGACGGAACAGCTCCTTTATAACTTGAGGCTTTTATCCAGTCATAGTACACATGGACGAGAATAATTATTTACATGCTCAAAAGTGCAGTTCGTTGGAACTGAATGGCTTCCCACTGGTGGCACTCCGATTAATTGAAATAATCGAATATTGATCGGAAGATCCAAACGATCAATCAAACCAAGCTATACTCGAACAAAATAAATTTTGTCCCCTCTCTCAAGTTCTTAACTGTTCTAATATTTAATTGGGGTTTATTCACTACTAACTATTTCGTACTTGAAAGAATTGAGAAAAGTGAAATCGATGTCTTGTTTGAAAAATAAAATACTGACGTAGGTATTTCTATTTGTTTGATCGACTAAATTTGCTTCATTAAAAAAAAACAGCAAAAATGGCGAAATCCAATTGATGTTAATGACTGAACTTTAACAGGTCCTAAAAACAAAATCTTGACGGTGTAGTTTCATGTAGCTACTCTCACTGCCGCTAGTTGACAAAACAGTGCACTTTGCACATGAATGTCTGTTAAGTTCATTATTCATGGAAGAAAAGGGGTCGACAACAAAACATGGTGAAGTAGCATTCTCAAGAATAAAAAAATAATAAATTATTTATGATTTATGCACTAGTCACTTTTCCGATCCGTCTCCTCCAGATATTTAATACTCTACCGCCTGGAGGGTCCGGACTTTACGCATTTTGTAGTTTAATTAAGGACATAAAGTTCGTGATTTAAGAATTGCAATATCCTTATTCATAATACTTTGTACAATTTATGGATAATCAGTATCATGTCATCTTTCTTTGTCAAGAAAAGAAGCTGAAATTCTACACATAAAAGCGACAAAACCCTTTCAATATTCATAAGAAATCTCGGCTATAAGCAGAGTCGATTGTACGAGCATCTGAATCATGAGCATAACTGTAAAAAAGTGATGATACAAGGTATTCGCGAAAAAGGGAGCGTATCCTCCCCCACCGGTGGCACCCGTCACAAACACATGCAAAGGCAAATCGGTTGCTAGCCATCCCTGGCCCCGTTTTTATAATGTCTTGTTATTTATCGTGATATCTTTTTATGGTTCCATACTAGTCTTAAACTATACATCTGTGATACGCTAGTTATTTTACTGTTCTTTGACGACAGGTTATATAATCAAATAGTATGCATTATTACTGTCTAACTTGATTTAGTCACGATACGGCTGAAATATTGACGATGTGACTATAAATATCCACTCACTCACTCACTCACACACTCACTCACTCACTCACTCACTCACTCACTCACTCACAAAGGATCACTTGCGTAATAAGCGATTTCCTCAGCACTGGGGCTTGATATCCGGTTACAATTAACATAAATACTGCAGCTAATACTGACGTATATCCAATATATTTCAAACGTCTGCAACTCTTGAGATATGGTGTGTGACAGACAAGCATTCTCAATACCATTTCAACACGTTTTTAACACATGTAAATAAACATTTGCATCACCTTCAAACCCTATGGAAACAGATGAGGCTTGGTATTTTGTATTTCCATTAATTTCATGAAAATGTCATTCCAAGCACTGCATTAAAGCAATAGAAAAGAGCTTACGAGTAAACTTACCTTACCGTCAATAATGAAAGTGAACAATACTAATGGATCCGAGCGATTTGACAACCTTTCCCTGAAGTGTCAAAGTCAGGAATGACCTACCCCACACCCACACCGACGTTTACGGAGGAAACACACGTTCAAACACAAAAAAAGTGGATACCATGGGTATATATACCATATAGCTTCATTGTCGTGTTTATTACAAGTGTATCACTGAATTATAACAATATAGACACAGATCTGCAGATAATGGCTGTATTTCAGTCATCGCGCACAGGCTGTGGTGATCACAGATGGTGACTTTCAGTTTTAAAAATGCAGTGGTTAGCCTGTCAATAAATTTGATCTTGTCGCTTACATGAATTAACAGTTCAGTTATAACGGATAAATACCATTCATATGAGAGTGCAATATTTAGAGAAAAAGTGTATATGTATTCAATAATTAGATTCCTCCCAACTGGCAATGAATCCACACTTACGTAAGATTATGATAATCCGTTCATCCTTTGAGTATAACATGCATGTATGGCGTATCATAAAAGAACAATTTGTGAAATAATTATTTTCTTACGTAAATAAGTAATTAATATTGGGAGTTGGTCTTCAGTGTTCACATCGTTTTCCCAAACCAAAGGTAATTTTGTATCAATGCAGTATAATTGTGATAATGAATCAGTACCAGATATGCATTGTTAATTATATTGAGCTCACATCTGCACGACAAAGGAGAGCACCAAGTCGAAACTAGGCTACAGGGCTCGTCATGTATAGTTCACACGTAAATGAATCATGTATGTTTATCAAAGCTGCTAACATTTTCTTTGATTAGCAGGGGGGCACGGGTGGCCCAGTCGTCTAAGGCGCCGTGATTCGCTGTGCAGAGTTGCGTCCCTTGGGCACGCCAGAAACCTATGATTGTGGGTTCGAATCCCGGTTCGCCCCAATTATGTTTCTAGGTTTGTCAGCACCATACCCGTGCTCATACCTGCATCACTTCGGGCTTTCCCCCCACATTAAGCTGACACGCCGTGATATAACTGGAATAATGTTAAATCGGCGCTAAAACCAACTCACTAACTCACTCACTTTGATTAGCAGTATTATTTCATGAAGCGAACTCATGCACACTGTTCATAATGTTTTGAAATATCTGTACAAAAACATGCGCAGTTCATTTGAATGAATTTGGTATGAAGTTTATATATGTTGTTTCCTGTCTCGATCATGAAACATCTTTGTAAACATAATTGATATGTAAGTGAGACCAGGTGAGGTGAAGTGGGGCTTTAACGTCATGTGCAAGATTATTGCAGTGATATAGCGACGTTGTGTGTGTGTGTGTGTGTGTGTGTGTGTGTGTGTGTGTGTGTGTGTGTGTGTGTGTGTGTGTGTGTGTGTGTGTGTCTAATGCCGATTTTATAGTGCTAGCCACTGATCATGAGATACCATGCCGCCTTCTAACGTGAATACCCCCACTCAGACACAGTATACTGACCCCGAGCCGACCAGTCCTTGTTTAAGCCCCTTAATGCCGATCACATTAACACATTAACAACAAGTACAATTGTGTCACGTAGAAAAGGTCATATTACAGAGGTTGTACTAACCAGACCCGTATCACATCCCCTGTCGTTTTAAGAATTGTAAGTGTTACGTCCCTAAATGCGTGGCCTACTCGCCTGGTTGGTTAGCTTTCCCGTGATAATGTCTTCCAAACAAAATTAAAATATAATGCGTTCCTTTGCACATAGATACATGTTTTCAATTTGATGTTATGGTAGATGATAAGAAAGGTTACTACATATCAACCCTTGACCCTCGGTCTGATGTTGGGTCTCGGGTTGCTTTAGGGAAAGATATGAAAACTGCCATATAATAACCTTTAACTCCTCCAGAAAAAACCCTGTTCTGTTGCAAAAAAAACACGGAACGTTTATTACAAGTCAAAATATGGACGAGTATCGGACATCATTTCGGTCATTCATGTGTCAAATTTGGAAATGTCCTCTACCATGAAACCTTTGAACAGTTTACTACGGCTTTGAATATTGTAACCCTGATCAAACAACGTTTGAGCAAGAATCATATAACGCTATGTGAAATCCTAGCATACTCGATTGAATCTAACTCTCTAAAGTTGTGAATTGTAGACACCAAAGGCTGAAGCTGCTGGAATAATGATCGACATAACGTGAAAGTTGACTGTTGGAGAGTTGAGACCACCTCCCTTATCATACAGTCATGTGGATAGGTTTTTGTCACCCTGGCGTTTTAATCATAGATGTATAACTATGAAACAGATAAGGCGGTTTCACTGGCCTCTTTGATCACTAGTTCAGGTGGGTAGCTCAATCGAAGAGAATTACCTATTTGACCATTATTGACATAAATCAGAACAAAATATACCTGAGGATTCGTTTAAACTACCCGTTAAGGTCAAATTCCTTTGTGTTATTTTGAACTGGAACGACGTTATCAATTGGGAATCTCATAAATATTATTTGGTTGACAGTTTGTGTGTCTGCACCAGACAATCCAGGGAC